CCCAGTTTAACCTTTTTTTTTTTTTTTTTAATAGAAAGTGATAGTTTAAATTGGCATTGCAGGAGCTAATGTGGTAAAGTTAAAACCATTTAGACTCCACTTGTTTTAATAAGTATACCTTACCTTCTATAATTCCCTTAAAAATCTAGGTCAAAGATTCCTTGCGATGTCTAGCATTCCATTCTGACAGTGCTTCTCTTTTTGCAAGTCAGAAAGTAAGCTTCTGAAAGAAATACTTCTTCAGCTATTTTGTGGATCTTTTTGACATTCACTCAACATACCTTTCTGTGGCCAATAAGTCTCTGTGCAGAGTTTGTTGTCTGGTTTTTTGTTTGGGTTTTTTTCTTAATTTAAGCTAATATCCCTTGTCTCTAAGTATGTGGCTGGTAAGGACCGCTCAGTGTTGTATGGCCTGGTACTCCAGCCTTTCCCTTCGGTTCGCATCTTTGCTCAGCTCATGGGGGGAAATAAGTTTTGTCTGATCGTAGTCCCCATTTGGCTATATCGCAAAACCACCAAACAATTTGGCACTGCTCAGCTGCATTGGCAGCCTCTGCCTGTGAGAGGCCTAGGATTGGAAAAGCAGCAGGGGTACTGCAGGTCAGACTTGAGATGGATTGGCGCTGCGTAGGGCAGCATGCATGGTGCCTATCATACTATTTTTGGCTCAAGCAAATGTTATTAAGCCTTCACTTCTGTAAGTCGTAACCTCATTCATAAATTTAACACAAAGAAGTCTTTTTAGAGGTGGGAGTTTGAGGGACAAATGGAAAAGGTTTTGGTTGGTATCATGGGGTGGTTCTTTCATCTCCTTTAAGTAGAAATTTAACATATTCTGCATAATCATGATGGAAGCATGCTTGGATAAACTTCACATTTTCCTTTTATTTTTCCTATTGCATTAAATGAAGAAAACATGGATATACATACATGTAATGCTTTCGTCATATACTAAATACCATGTGGAATGCAATAAGCACTTAGTCATGCTTGGGGAAAACCAAGTAGAACATGATGGCAATAATCTTGGATTTCTAATCCCTTTAACTACATCATACTCTTAAACATCCTTCCTCTTGATTTTTTTGTCTCTTTGTATTTTCCAATACAGAAGAATTGGAGACAGTGGTTTTTATATGGCCCCTACAGCAAGCAGTTGTGGGGTTTGAAGTTATGTGTCTGTTGTTCTGTGCTTTTGCTTTACAGCCTTTTCAGGGGTTTCAGTGGTTAGCTAGTGTCATTCATCCACCCACCAGCTTGTGAAAGATGCCACTTTGAATTCCACAGTGTCTTTCAAACTCCGTAATGGACAGCTGATTCACATTGAACTCTGATTTGCCTCTTGTCACTTTCCTGTAGTGAATTCATAAAGCAATCACTACTAGCTGGTTGCTAAGGAACTGGCAGTGGGTAGAAAAAGTCATTTATGGTCTTTTCTCACCCATAACATTGCTGTTTCTCTGATTAGTAGAAATCCCCACAATTTATACACCCTACCCCTTTGAAAACCTAACGAAACAGAAACAAAGAAGCAGAAACAGCCCACCTTTTAGAGACATGGAGCTTTATTTTTAGTATCATTTGGAAAAGAGAGTAATGAAAGTGAGGCACAGAGGAAAAAATCATCGGGACTAATGTTACAAGTTTTTATTAAACTTAAAAAAAACCCAAAAAACCCCTAAACTTAAAGCTGACCATTTGGTCTAGCACGGTCCTTAACTGACCGTGCTGATTTTACTGGATGGAGTTTTCACTCCATTGTATTTCTTTACTCTTGTGTATTTCAGTTCAACCTCTGGTGTCACTGTAACATAGGGATTCTTTTTATTTTTTTTCTTTTGTGGTTTAATTGTATGAAAAAATTTTGTGCTGTATTCTTGGAGCTGTACAGATGGTTCCATGCCAAACATATTTGTTTACCGTGGTAATGTCTGAGTTGTAGTGTGCCAGCTAATAAAGGGATTTATTTAAGGAACAAGGTGAATGACTTAAACAGATGTGCCAGTTGAGTGAACCATTAAAAGAATCTTACTTCTCAGCTTTATGTAAAGGTTATTTTTAATGTATTTCTGAGAAATCAAGAGTGGTTGCAAGGATGTTTTTGAGAGAGCTGAAAGCACCTTGTCCATTTGCTTGGGAGTCTTTTCCTGTGGGGTTAAAATACATTAATCTTTCATTTATCTTACTGAAGATTTTGCAAAGACAGCTGGTAAAAAGTCCTGAGTTTCATTGTCTGATCAAGTGTTATAATCTCATAATGGATTTTGTGCTGTTTATAAATTCTATTATTCTGTCTTCCAGATTTGAAGAAACCTGTTTTAATATTTCTGTAATGTAAATGTAAATTTCTGTAATGTAATACAAATGTATATCTTCATTCTATGGAAGTCCTGGGTCAACCTGCTGTAATAATACTAAAACCTAACACACATTTTCTCACACAAGTATAAGGTACTCTGCTTTTAATAGAAAGTGAAACACTGGCTGTTAAGCATTTTAACCAGTGTTTGAGAGAGAAACTAAAACGGTGAATTAAATGCTATTTGCCCAAACACTTAGTCTGCTGTACATCACAAAAATATAATTGTTAATTCTGGTGCTTAAGTGTATGGTTTGATTTGAATTAAGCAAATGAGGTGCTGCTTAAGGCACACACTGTACTAAACTTGACCACATACTTGAATGCCATTTTGAATAACGTTCGATTTTAGGTACTTGTTCCTGAAGCTGTCCTCAAAAAGATTGAATGGTGTAGTCTGTCTGTACCCGTCTGTTGCTGTTCATTGCCTCTTTCTTTATATTTGACTTACCAGCTTCTAAGTCATGGACCTTATTTATTTCACATTCATGGCACCGGGCAGAAGAAAATTGGTGTTCTTTCATTTTTGACTTGTGTGACTGAGTAATACAAATAGTATACTGCCTCTTCTACACTTGTACTAGTGACAGTATTTCTGGTTTAGAAATAGCCAATTACATATATGAAACCTCTTTGGTATTAATAAAGATAAAATTTGTTCCTTCATTAAGAATAATTGAAATAGTGGCTTTCTCATTTTAGGTTAGTTGTGGTTTTGTTCAATCCTAGCACTGAAAAAATAATCCAGAGAGAGCACAGAAGCCAATGTTAGCATTTTCAGTGCGTTCCCATCCAGACAAATTTATCAAAGGCTGTCTGTTTATAGGCAATGATTGTAATCTGATCTGAGCTTACGTAAAAAAGAAAAATGTGCCCCCTGATTAAACATAGCAATTAAGGATTTCAGGGGGCTTGGTTTTGTGATGAAGCATTGGTCTCAAAGCAGTGTGTTTGGTATTAAATTGTAGAGCCATTGCAAGGCAATTAGATCACCTTTCTTGGGATTTCAAGTCTTCTCTATTTAAAAACACAGAAAAGCCTGCTTTGAATTGCAGCTTCCCTGATTGTGTGAGGATTGGGAAGCATGCTAAAGCACTTAAAATACTAATCTGACAACACAGTATTGTGGGGGGAAGTATCATTATGTCTCTAATTTATGTCTGTACACCAATCCAATAAGCAACATGGCATTTCATTTACTTTTATGAGATCTGCCCCATTAAGGTGAGGATGGCTGGATTTAAGAAAAAGAAAAGATGACAGATGGAATATATTTTTGTAAATACCTATAGGTTCATGAAGTCCACCTCCTGTCAATTTCAACAAGAGTAAGATAAGTGAATCCCATAAATATGTTAGCTCCTGCAAAGCTGTCATGTGTAGCAGTTACTTCAGTTTGTCTATTCCAAGGTGGATTTCAAGCTTAACTTTGATTAAGAACCTCTTGACAGGGTTTGGATTTAGAATGTTTAGCTGATCTGATCAACCTTGACATTGAACTGACTGAAACTTGTACTTTATACAGCTTCCAAATGTTGTTTTCATTCTTGAAGGACTGTTGTGAATGCAAGAAAATGCAATGTGACTGGATGTGAATTGAGTTAGACCCAAAAGAGGTTCCTTCTCTCCTTTACTGGAGAGAAACTTAATTGTGTTTATTGTTTTATTGTTGTTGTTTTATATACTGTAGGCTTTTGCTCTTATGCCTGGTTAATAATTTTTTTTCTCTCCTTCTACCACTCCAGGCCATATACACCTATGAAGGGAGCCTCTTCCACTGTGTGGTTTGACAGGTATAAGATCTCTAATGACTGTCCAGAACATATTGAAAGTATTGATTCTATGTGCCGAAGACTTACAGACTTGATCAACGATGAGATTAAAAATGGCATTGCAAAAAATAGGATACTAATAGGTAAGAAAGACTTCTTTTTAGTGTGCTTTTTTTTTTTTTTTAAAATTCTTAAGAGATTATCTCCATCCTAAAAGCTCAGGAGCGTGCCTTGCATAACTGCTGAACATCCCTTCAGTAGCCAGTCCTCAAGAATATTAAATCACTGTTTAAACCTGTATCAGGTGGGAAATGTGGCTAACTGCAAGCAAAATGTACCTTAAAACTGTTTTTATTGTAAAAAGTAATTTGTAATTGTTATTTAAAGTACAGAATGGGCAATTACTTACTTTAAAAAGTGCATAGCTTTCTGATTTCCTTTTAACCCCTTTTGAGGATGGAAAAACATGCTTTCCCAAAATGACTTGTATTTTAGAGAGTGGAGATGTAACATATAAATAATCATGAGCTTTTCCTTACTCTTCTAATCATTTTGGATTAAGTTAATTCATGGGGAAAAAATTCACATTACACATCGCTAAAGCTTAACACTTGGTAGCAAATGAAGTATTAGCTGTCATAATTCTTATGTGTCTGTCTTCCTGTCCCTCTTAATTTCCACAAATTTCCAGCGACTGTCACAGTACTTATGTGAAACAGGTAGTGGGATTTTAAGGCACTGGAGTTGAGGGAATGGAGTAGCCTGTGTCAGAGAAGGAATGAGAATTCACACGTCTTTGGTTCCCTCTCCTATACCTAGACCACAAACTATTTCAGGTTGTGGGGTAGGGGGGAAACTCTTAATGTGTGAATTTATACATTTATGGCCAGCTGAGTCGAGCCAACAAAATCCCGTGTGGTGGAGCCACTACCATGCAGCCTACGTGTTTTCTTGGTCCAGCCCCATGTTGCTCTTTGAAAGCCTCTGTTTGCTTTCCCTTTCTGGCTCATCGCCCTGGCTGCAGAATGCATTGTTTTGGATGGCTGTCAGCACAGTCTCTTTCATCTGTCTTTCCCGTGTTATACCTGCTGGCTTGGAAACAGCTGAAGAAGCGCAGGTGCTTTTCTGTAGGGTGAGCTGGGATGTGTTCTGTGTACAGATCCAACTTGCTACTAGGCTTTTCTCCTTTTTCTGTAGCCTTCAAAATTAGATCTAGTGAAACTGCAGAGTGTAAAAGTTGCTTTACAAGCCATAAGCAGAATAAGGCAGTTGGTATGCACCAATTGTTTCAGCCCATAGATTCTTTGGAAGTCCCCATCTCTGTGTATTTGCATTCCTCATCTGCAAATTAGAAATAATTATACTTACTTTTTCACTCTTGAAAGCTTTGATTTCAGGCTTCTAGAGTAAGGCACTGTTTTCTTGCCTCTTTGGCAGAGACTATGTGCATACATCCTTACGGTTGTATGTAACATACATGCAACAAGCAAAATAAGGCAGCAATGAATTAGCTGCCTCCAAAGTGCAAAAGGGAAACCGTGTGGATGCGTAAGAAATTCACTAGTGGAAAATTAATTGCATCTCTTGTGCCTGCACTAGCTTAAGTGTACTTCCACAAGAACTTTGTGCCTTCTCTGCACTGTTTTTGATGATTAACCAGTGTATGATACGTTGGAGAATGAAGGTTAACAGTTCTTTAAGGTTTTTGTGCATAAAGGCTGGGTTTAGTGTCAGTCTGAGTCAGCAATACGTGGCATTCTTAGTTGTTTTACATGCAACTTTGTGCAAATAATTGCCCATCTTCTGGCATTGTTTCTTACCAGAAAACAGAAAATCTCTAAAGGTACCTGGCAGCTTTATAACGTTTTTGATTGAAAGGCAATATGAAGCCAAGGTTTGGTTATGAATGTATAGTCAGTATGTCTGCGCCAAATGGTAATGTTCACTGGAAAAGAAGAAATGAGTGGCCTTAAATTTTTCCAAGTTTGGGAAAGATTGATGTGCAGGAGATAATGTAAGATAGGTCACCTGCTTAGAATGTCTTAAGAACTTAGTCCAGTCAGATGTTTTTAGATTTTTCTTTGAAAAAGTCAAGAATATCCATCTGGTACAAGAAGAGAAGGTTTGAGGTAATGGATAGGGAGCAGACAGCAGATTTGTGAGTGCTGGTGTGATAGAATTGAGGAGGCAGCCTTCTTGAGGCGAAGGGTAAAATAAGACTATTATAGCAGAGGAAACCACCGTGAAATGTTGCTATGAATATTTCCCCAGTGCCTTCAGAGATGTTGAGTTGTGTTACAGAACCGTAATGGGAATACTGGTGTGTATCTTATGGAAAATAGAGACAAAATAGTTGAGAGAAGAGACTGGAGGACTTGGGAGTCTGTAAAGGGCAGTGGGGGCCTTTTCAGGTAGGTCACAGGAGCCAACAGAGCAGAGCAGTTGTGTGAAGAAGGAATTACAGGGAATGAGATGGTTGTTAAAGAGTTAAGGAGAAATGGGTTGTGGGGCTGTCTATTTTGTAATGAGTGGGAGTTTTAATGAGTGGAAAGAAAACAAAATTAGTATGAGGAGAGCAACAAGATTGAAGGTTATGGTTTTACATGGAATAGCAGACTAGAAATTACAGGCTGAGGATGAGTGTCAGATATTGTTAGATGAGGGCGAGAGAGGTGTTAGGCAAGCAGGAAGGTGGGTAGCTGCTGACAGCTCAGAGGTGTGGGATAAGAAGGCAAGATCTGAGGGAGCACTGTGCAAAGGAGAGCAAGTGGGAAGAGAGGGGAAGCAGGAGCAGGCTCTCAAGCAGTGGAAAATGAGAAGCCAAACACCTGGTGTTCTGGGGGATGATTCTCCTTCTGGACCTATTCAGACTTTCCACAAGGCTCAATATTGTGGGTACAGTAAGATCATTTGTTCTGAAAGAAATTATAGCCTGCGCTGTTTGTTTCAGTAGCACAGTTAGTTCTGAAATCCACAAGTGGCTGCTTGTAGGGCAGAACTCTGAAGCTGGGAATGAAGTCCTGGTTGTGCAATGCCACTCCCCTTTTTCTTTATCAAGAAAAATATTGGTGCAGCCTTGTTTTTAACAACTGCTCTATGTATCTACTTCTATAAGAATTAAATTACTTAAGACTTTATTTACCTCCAGAAAATTATTATTAAAACCTCCATATCCATTTAGTGTAACAACCAGCACTCAGCAGTACCCAGCTCATCTATCCATTCCCATTTCCTGACAGTTTCATGAGTTGCTTTCCTAATAATACAGAATTTTTTTGAAGGAAGTAGACTCTGGTTTATTAAGGTTTAGTTCCCCTGACCTTGGAAGAGGAAGGAAAGGAGACTGACTGCGATGTATAATTATTAAAAAATAATTATCCCCAGAATTTGATAATTCACTTTTTAGCCAAACATTCTTGTAGAGTTACTCATACTGGCCTTTGTGGCTAAAGCAATTCTTGCAAATAATCCTGCAAGTAGGTTTATATTGACTTTGGAGATAAAAGAGGGTGATAAAATTAGTCATATTCTGACACTTAGAGCTTTGATAGCATCCCTTCCTAAAAACTGGATGCATTCCTTCTGTATAAATGCCTGAATTCATTACTAAACAAGCAAATAACCACAGTTTAAAATGTGGGACAATCATTTCTTTTTCTATTTAAAGCTGAGTTGGTTTTTCAGGTGGTGGTGGGTCTGCTTTGTTTTGTTTTCTTGTGTTTGGTTTTGTGATATTTTTTTAACTGCTTCCATAGTGATTGTGCACTATAAAATAACTCCTCTTAGGTGGAAATTGTCAAAGATTTTGACAATCTTATTCAAGAATATGTTAGAAGGTCTTGAAAGAAATGCTCACTTCACATTTGGAGCATTTCGATAGTGCTTAATTTAGTCAACTACACTTCAGTGAAAGACAGTCCTTTTGTTTTCTTTTTTTCCCCTCTTAATTTAGTGCTACTTTCCTACTTCTAGAGGTCACTTTTTGTGTAGTGCAGAAATGCTAATCCAAGCACGTTGGTCTCTGCCACCTGTAGTCACTTGTTTAAGCAGCCAGCAAAAATAAACTTTCCATAACAGTCCTGTAGATTTGACTGTGTGCCAAGAAATACATACATGATTCCTGACCCCTTGTATTGTAACAATAACACAAGACACACAACCACTTTTTGTTTATTGCTAGACTTACATAGCTACTGAACCATGGTGGAAGTAACATGAAAGCTGTGTGCTTCTTGTAAATATTAGCATTTCCATCTCTCTCAGTGTATGTGAGAATGGGATGGAGAGGAAATATCTTGGCTTCGACATTGCAGAGAAAGATGATTCTATAAATACAGGAAGATAAAAAAAATCAACAATAATTGTTGGGCAAACTACTTCACCTACAATCTTGGTATTTTGTGTCTTTGGCTTGTAAGCCTTTTGCTGTCACTCATCTTGTATCTTCTGTCTTTATTAGGAAATCGTTGTCTTTTGTTTAGAGGCACTTACTACCTTGCTCTCACAGAGTAAATTAATGGTTTTATATTGCTATTTTTCACTGCAATTCAAATGAGATTTCTCTTTCTGTACCACCCATTACGTGACTTTGTGGTATATCTAAATTATGCTGTTAGTTCAACTCCCTCATAATACCAACAAACATTTTATTAATTTTCAGTGCGTCAATGTAAATTTGCATTGCATTTGTACTTCAGGGAAAACTCTTGTTTGCACCTGAACTGGCCATTTATTTTTCTTTTGGGTCTCTATGAAACTTTTTATTTCCTGTTGCACAAGCAAGAGACATTAACAAATGAATGTTTCTGTTTCCTTTATAAATCACTCAATAGGAGGTAAAATGGTAATAATTTTAATCAGAGAGTAGGATCCACCACTTTTCACTTTGTTTCCTGGCTCTTGACAATGTCCATATTAATCTATCTAGAGACAAGAGTTTTTGAAATGTGGCATATTCTTAGTTTCAATCTGCATGGTGAATGACAGGTTTAGCAAATGATAGTGAGGATTAGGAGTACAGAACGCTCACAGCAATAAAACCAAAAATAATTTAATCATGATATTGTCATCATATATAATCATCAGATAATGGCTTTGGGAGGAAAAGAATTATGAAGTGATTCGAATTCTCATCTTTTCAGCC